AGAGAGAGAGAGAGAGAGAGAGAGAGAGAGAGAGAGAGAGAGAGAGAGAGAGAGAGAGAGAGAGAGAGAGAGAGAGAGAAGAGAGAGAGAGAGAGAGAGAGAGAGAGAGAGAGAGAGAGAGAGAAGAGACGAAAAACACTGACAGAAAAAAAAAAAGACTTTAAAAAGATAACGAAAAAAACGGAACAAGCAAAAGACAGCAGCAGCCCGACATACCGACGGACAGACAGACAGACAGATACATCAACATCCATAGACAAGCCAAACAGACCGAAACAGGAATAAAAGCCGACGCACAAACGAAGCAGAATGACATCCAGATAATTCCCCACCCCCCTTACCCCAAACCCGCTACCCCCCCCTCCCCTCCCTGGCTCGCAAATTTTTTCACCGATCTATATATATATATATTTCCTTTTTTTTTTTTTTTCATACGCTTCTATATATTTGTTTATTATTCATATTCACGGATATATTTTTAGGCGAGTAGTGATGGCGGGATTGGGATATTATTGGGAAATCCCGGGCGGGCGAGAGAGGCTGTAATGCGGGGCGGGAAGGTCCAATCCCGCGCTATGGAAATATGTGTGTTTGTGATGATGCAGCTTTATAAAGTGTGGATAAAATGGAATGGAAAAGGAGGAACTCAGAGAGGGGGAGGGGAGGGGAGGGAGGGAGAGGGGGGGGAGAGGAGAAAGGAGAGGGGGAAGGAGAAGGAGAGAGAGAGGGAGAGAGAAGGGAGAGAGAGAAGGGAGATAGATAGATAGATAGCTGGATAGATAGAGAGAGAATGAAAAAAAAAGACGTCAGAAATTCTACATAACAAAAATAGCAAGAAAAAATAAAAAAAATAAAAAGGAAACAAGATACGGAAACAACAAGAAAGAAAAGAAAAGAAAAGAAAAACACGAAAATTAGAGACTAAGTAGAATATATAAGCGAATGACAGATAAAAAAAGATAACAAAACGGAAATAACGGCCTCAAAGCGGGCAAACCCCGGGCGCTTCCATAACGCTGACACTCATCCCGGCAACACACCATCCATCGCAGGTTCGCGATTCAAACCAGGAATCAATCCCCGCACCCTGGGGGAACGGGGGGGGGGGGGGGGGGGGCGAAGGGGGGGAGGAGGAGGGAAGGGTGGGGAAGGGTGGGGAGGGGAGGGAGGGGAAGGGGGAAGAACAAGTGAGCATCGCATAGGGACGAGAGGGAGAGGGGGGGAAGGAGAGGAGAAAAATAGGTAGGGAGGAAGAGAGGAAGGTAGAGAGGGAGGTAGAGAGAGAGAGAGAGAGAGAGGAGAGAGAGAGGAGAGAGAGAGAGAAGAGAGAAGAGAGAGAGAGAGAGAGAGAGAGAGAGAGAGAGAGAGAGAGAGACAAAAGAGACAAAGAAACAGAAAAAAAAATATATAATCAGACCGAAACCAGACAGAGAAACCAAAATAGGGGAGGGAGAGAGGGGGAGGGAGGGAGGGAGGGAGGGAGAAGAGAGGGGAGAAGAGAATGAGATTGTCGGAGCTTTGTTATGGTCATTCTTCTCTCTCTGTTTTCCATTAGAGTGTATCAATGAGGTGCGTGGCAGTCGGCGGCGGGAGAAAGCGGTGCTATGGCTGCTGTTTTGCGAGGGGGGGGAAGGGGGGGGGAAGGAAGGAAGGAGGGAGGAAGAAGGAAGGAAAAATAGGAGGGGGGAGGGAGGAGGAAGGGAGGGGAAGGGAGGGGGAGGGGGGAGGAAGGAGGAAGGGGGAGGAGGGGAGGAGGAGGAAGGGAGGGGGGAATGGAGGAGGAAGGGAGGAGGAGGGGGAGAAGGAAAGAAAGGGGGGGGAGAGGGGGAAGAAAGGAGAGGGAGAGAGGTGGAAAAAAGAAAGGGAGGGTAAGGGGGTTGAGGAAGAAAGGGAGGACAGGGTAGAAAAGAGGGGAGGATGAAGGGAGGATGGGATAGAAAGAGAAAGAGGAGGGGAGGGAAGGGGTAAGGGGAAGGGCGAGGAGGGGGTAGAAAGAGAAAGAGGAGGAGGAGGAGATTGGTGGGAACAGAGACCAATGATGACGATGATTAATCATGGAAAATAAAGAAAGGAGGGGGAAAAGACGACATAGAGAAAACGAAATGTATGATGAGACAGAGAAAAAGAGAGAACGATGCATTTCTTCCCCCGAATCATAGAGGGAAGAAAAAGAATTAACATTTTCCCCTTATGTCTCTTCATTTACTCTTTTTTCCTTCCTTCTCGTCTCTTTCTATCTATCTTTCCTCTCTCTCTCTCTTTCTTAATCTTTCACTTTCTCTTCCACGAAAAACAAAGCTCGTAAACAGGTTAGAAAGAGCGATAAAACACCAGGTATAAGAAGAATAGATAAATAATTGATAAATAAAAAAATGCAACACCAAAGAGGAGAAATGATAAAACGCAACGCCCAAAAAGGGAACTAGAAAGATAGAGAAAAAGAAAGAAAAAAGGAAAAATAACTTGAAAATCTGACAATAGTGAACACGGTGGGTGGAAAAAAAGGCGATATGTCGAGAATGAAACGTATAACCAGATACGGGAGAGAGATAGAGAGAGAGAGAGAGAGAGAGAGAGAGAGAGAGAGAGAGAGAGAGAGAGAGAGAGAGAGAGAGAGAGAGAGAGAGAGGAGAGAGAGAGAGAGAGAGAGGAGAGAGAGAGAGAGAGAGAGAGAGAGAGGAGAGAGAGAGAGAGAGAGAGAGAGAGAGAGAGGAGAGAGAGCGAGCGAAGGAGAGAGAGAGAGCGAGGCGAGAGAACGGGCCCAGGCGAGCGAGCGAGCGAGCAAAAGAGAGAGAAAGCGAGGGAGAGCGAGAAAGACCCCGAGCGGGCGAGCGAGAGAGCGAAATGGCGAGAGAGAGCGAGAGGGAGAGATGAAATTTGGTTCTGGTATATTTTGATGGAGTGTTTTCGATTAAGCTAATACCGGAGCGAGGGGCTGGCGCACCAAGCGTGACTGCACGATGACTTTTTCAGTGTGGCGAATTAGTTGATATGTGAGAATGATAGAACCAATAAAAATAACAAAGGCATCAAAAACACTGGTTTAAAAGTTCATCCGAAATGGGTAATATGCGTTTTTTTTTGCTATATAAAAACGCTATTTAGATTTATGATTTTTTATTTTCATATCGTGGATTTTTGAAGCGTTTTTAAAAAATCTCTCTCCACGTGTATATATATTTTTTCATATACTCCTTTTTTTCAGAATCGAAAGCTCATATCACTCAAAAAATATAGATTGGCCTGTATGCGTTATCCTTTTTATTTTTTTGTTTTTTTTTATTCATTTTACTTTTTTCTATATATATATTCCAGCGATCGCGCGGCGCTCCCGATGTTTTTTTTCTCTCTCTCACGCGCTAAAACCTTCGCGAAAAAAAGAAAATGTTCCGACGCCGCCGCAGCGTCCGCCGTCTCTTCCCGCCAACCGGAAATGATACAAAAACAAGATCAGCTGATTATTCGCAAGCCAGCGACTCCATGAATATAACCACCAGCGCTGACGGATTATCGACTTGTTACAGTTTCCCCTCCCATACATACATACATACACAAATACGTACACGCATAGACAACACACGCGCGCGGACATGCAAATTTCCCCCTTATCCCCGAGCGACAGAAGGTCCATCAGGCGTATCCTTCCCCTTCCTCTCCCTCCCTCCCCTCTTTCCGAAAGACGAGCCCGGCCGTCACGCCATAATCGAACCTATCAACCAGGGGCATAAGGGTCATCGGCGCTCTGATGCGGGGTATTTGAAGAGCGACCGGAGGAATGGAAGGAAGAGGGAAGAGGAACAGAAATAAAGATGATAATAAGAGAGGAGGAGAAAGAAGAAGAATTTGAGCAATAATAATAATAATAATCGCAGTAATAATAATGATAATGATAATGATGATAATACTAATGATAATAATAATATTAATAATAATAATGATAATGATAAGGACAAAAATGATAATCTATAATAATAATAATAATAACATGGTAGAATGCATAAATAACAATAATAAATTCAATGATACTAAGAGAGGGAGAGGAAACGCGGATGATGAAGAGGAGGAGGAGGACGCATAATAATCAGGAGGAGGAGCTGAGGAAGATGCCGGCGCACTACTTAGTCGCGCGGATGAGCCCGGCCCGAAGAGCGGTCAGGGGGCGAAACATGGCTTCCTCTCCGCGCCGACTTGTCATCTCTCGTCGCGCTGGAATTTGTAAGGCGATGGCTTTCGCCGCCGCCCTTTTGTGTTACCGGGGAGGGACGCCACGCCGGGCGGAAAGCATTCTTTACCGGGATGTGCGCATATATCAAGGAGTTTAAAAGGGCGGAGGCCATCCGTGCTACAGCTTCTGTGTACAAGAAGCTCGGGCTGGGCGGCGCGGCGGCGGGAAACCCGGGACAATAAGCTCAGGTTTTTCTCTTTTTCCTTTTGGAAAATTTCCCTTTCGGCGGAGATGGCTTCCTCGCGGGGATCTATGGCGCGGGAACGGCGGGGGGGGTTGGGGCGTGCGTGCGTGCGTGTGTGTGTGTGTGTGTGTGTGTGTGTGTGTGTGTGTGTGTGTGTGTGTGTGTGTGTGTGTGTGTGTGTGTGTGTGTGTGTGTGGTGTGTGTCGGTTCACATTAAACGCTAACCTGTCATTATTGCAAATAACTTCCTTCTCTAACCCTTAGAAATACATTAAACAAACACTCCTACAATTAAAGATACACAAACAAACAACAAACAAACAAACAAACAAAAAAACACCAAATCGAAATCACACCACGCATCCCAAACGTCATCCACACCAAACAAACAAACAAGCAAAAGTTTCTAAACAAGTAAAAAGAAAAAAAAAAATCAAACTACAAACTACCCACTACGCCCATAACCACCACCAAATAATAATAATAATAATAATAATAATAATAATAATAATAATAATAATAATAATAATAATAAAAAACTAAAAAAAAAACACCGCCACCACTCAAGCAGCACCTCGAAGGGCCACCTACCTGGACAGGATCTTGGAGACGCATCCGTGGGACACCCTCAGCTGGCGCGAGATGTCGCAGGGGCGGACGCCGTTGTGTGCGAGCTCCACTATTCTCTGGCGCACCATGTCGGGCAGAGGGCGGCCGTTCACGAAGACGCCGCCCAGCTGGTTCACGCCGCCATGGCCTGCGGGGAGAGCAAAGGGGGTTAGTGGGGGTGGATGGGTGGGGGTGGGATGTAGGGAGGTGTGGAGGAAGAGGAAGAGAGAGAGAGAAGGGGGAGAAGGACAGGGAAAGGGAGAGGGAGAGAGGGAGAGGGAGAGGGAGAAAGAGAGAAAGAAAGAGAAAGAGAAGAGAGAGAGAGAGAGAGAGAGAGAGAGAGAGAGAGAGAAGAGAGAGAGAGAGAGAGAGAGAGAGAGAGAGAGAGAGAGAGAGAGAGAGATACATGAGACATGATTAAAAATTAAATTATTACAAATATAAAACACAGTACAACAAACAATTAGCTTTCCAAACACCAACTAAGACTTCATTAATGCGAGTAAACAGCGGCAACAAGAGCGGTTAGTCACAGTCCCAAGAAGGAATCCATTCAAGAAACGAGGCTTCATGCAACGGCAGAACTGCCAGCGGGCGCAGACTCTCCGCCGAATCGCGCGCAGCCAAAACGCTCCCAATCGGACTCCGCGAATTCCGCCGAGGCCCGTCCGGGGCAGCGGGCGAGGGCGGCGGGCACGTGGCATGCGGCGGGCGACGTAACAGAAAAATAATGAGCGGCGCACAAAGGCCTCCGAGTGACCTCCTCCATAAACAGGGTATCCATCTCGAGGCCGCCATTGTGGCGCGGCGCCCGACTCCATCGCGCTTTGTGGGGAGTCATTTATACGAGCATTACAAGGCGGCGCCGGATAATACACGTTAAAGTGAGCGTTCGGAGCCCCGCGGCCGCGCGCCGCGTCCCACAGGCTATCGGCGCCGCGGCAGGATTTTCCGCTCTGCCGCCGAGGGGCATTGTGGGGCGCGGCGGGCACGGCGCCGGATGAAACACTATGGAATGAAACGCTCCTTTCCCGAACACAGGCGCTCAATGGAGTGTTTGGCGGGCCAGCTGCGCTCGCGGGCATTCGGGCAGGAGGACGGGGCTGCCCTGCCGACCGCAGGCCCGCTATGCACTTGAGACGGGATCGGCGGCAGGAACGCCACGGGCAGGCAGCAGATGCCGAAGGGAAGGCAAGGGCGTCGTGGGCGGCAGAGAGGAACAAGACCCGCTGTCCCGTCCAAGATGCGCCGTAATACAAAATCGCACACATTAAGGAATGCATAAAAAAGGAAAATCAAAAGTCGAGCGAATTCCTTTCGTCCCAAAGCCATTCGATGCTCATCTGTGTTTCCCTTTCCAGCCCCCCCTCCCCCCCTCTCTCCCGGTCTCTGATTGCCTCACGGGCACTTCCGACAGTCACATTTCATGGCATATGATTCTTTATAGAGACGTACCCCAAAGGCTTTTATCACGTGCAGTCAGCGAGACGTATAGGCCACATGATACCCCTATCTTCACATTAGCTTGGGCAAGGGGCTAGGGGCAGGGAGGGGGACGGGTAGGGGTGGGAGAGGGGGTAGAGAAGGCGGGGACGAAGGACCGATCCCGACAAAGACCAGAGTTACATTAATTATTTATCCGCTTATTCAATTTATTTACTTTTCGTCCGGTTAGGTGTGGCGCTGGAAGACTTTAAACACAAGGATCCGACTGGTTTCCGGGGCCGGGCGGCGAAGCGAGCAATCCGACAGAGTTAAGGATCTCAATAGCCTACGAGAGCTCTTGACTCTCCGTCGCCCTCGCGTTTGTAATGATGTATTGTTGCAGGGCCGGAGGGAAGGGAAGGGAAGGGAGGGGAGAGAAGGGGAGGAAGGGAAAGGGAAGGGAGGGAGAGAACGAGAAAAAGGGAAACCGCTATTGTCGCTCTCTCCGTCCCTCCACTTCCTCCTTCCTCTCTCTCTCTTTCTTTCTCTTCCCCATCTGGCTTCCTCGCACACTAAATGAACTTCCGCAGAACAAGAGAGAGCGGAAGAAGAGAAAGAAAGAGAGAGAAAAGAGAGAGAGAGAGGGAGAAGGGACAAGGAAACAAGCCAAGCGCAGGTCGCCGCCCCGTGCCCGTCCTCTGAATGGCGTCAATCAAGTCACCAGGTGCCCGATGCCTCCCCCCTCCCCTCCCCTCCCCTCCCTCCCGAACCGCCATGGAACCCCCCGTCGAGCCTGTCCCCTCCCCCCCCCTCCTTCCCATTGTGGGTACTGTGTGGTATGCCCGATTTACGCTGTCCCGATGCCCTCCCTCCGCAAACACTCGCGCGGGCATCGATAAACCCACCAAAAATAAACTCCAAACCTAGAGTAACACCCTTCCCCCTCCCCTCCCTCCCCCGCTCCCTCAGCTGTGCCCACCGACGTCTGCGAACTGACGTCGATCCAACGTCCGCGGGGGAAGGATCGCGACGTCAAATCAATCTTCAATTCACTTACCCTGCCCTCCCTTCGTGCCCTCTCCTCCTGCCCTCTTTTCCCCTCCCCTTCCCCTCCCTTCCTGCCCTAACCCCTCCTCGCTCCCCTCCCTCCCCTCCCCGCCCTGAAGAGAGCTCCAGCCCCCTTCTTCGGCGTATTAATTATGCATTCCGAACCTTGCTGTGTCATTAGATTACAAAACGATGGCCAGATAAACCATTGAAAACATATGTTCTCTCCCCCGACCGCACCTGTTAGAGGGCGGGGTGGGGGAGGAGGGGGAAGGAAGGGGGGAAGGAGGAGGAGGGGGGAGGAGGAGGAGATGGTCACTTAGGTGTCATCTGTTTGTTCTGGATCAGATAAGTGGATTTGAGGGGGGGCGATAAGTAGGTGTCGGGTGGGGAAGTGGAGGGGAGAAGGGAGATAAGGAGGGGGTGAGGAGAACAAGGAGGACGGAGGGGGAGGAAGGCGGGAGGGAAGGGGAGAAGAGGGATGATGAGGAATAAGTAGGTGTGATGCGAGTATCAGACTGCGGGATCTAATGCCCCCCACCCCCCCTTTCTCTCTTTCCTCCCTCCCTCCCTCTCTCTCTCTCTCTCTCTCTCCCCTCCCCCTCTCTTTCTCCCCCCCCCTTCCTCGCAGACATCAAGAAGCAAGGAAACACAAAAACGCAAAAGCCTCCGAACCTCGTTGAAGGGAAGAGGCCACTAATGCAGTTGTTGTTACGCAGCGTCTGGGATGAAGAGGCGAAGGATGGATGGCTCGGGGGCGGGGACGGAATGAGTAATAAGGGAGGCAGACAATAACGAAGAAAGTGGAGGAAGGGAGAGAGGAAGGGAGAGAGGGAGGAGGGAGACAAGGGAAGGAGAAAAAAGAGAAAGGGAGTGAGAAAGAGTGAGAAGAGAGAGAGAGAGAGAGAGAGAGAGAAGAGAGAGGAGAGAGAGAGAGAGAGAGAGAGAGAGAGAGAGAGAGAGAGAGAGAGAGAGAGAGAGAGAGAGAGAGAAGAGAGAGATGAATAGAGAAAATAATCCCAACCAAGAGAAAAAACAGACACAGAAAGGGACACCAAACAAGTGGCACAACAGCGCAGATGGAGAGATAGGCATCGCAAGGGAGGGAGAGACAGAGAGACAAGGGAGAAGGGAGGGAGGGGAGGGAGGGAGGGAGGGGCCACTAATCCGTCAGTTTTGCTGCTCGTGTTCCCCCGATAAGAGGTCGGGGTGCGCGGCGATGGGCCATTATTATCAATTGTTTGATTGGATTAGCGGCGCGGCGGCTGTCAAGTGCCACGAGAGTGGCGGCGCCGATAAGTTACAAGCGCCGGTTCCTCCGCCTGCGGCTGCGGCTGCGACTCGCTCGCTCGTACCTGCTCGCAGGGGGAGGGGGAGGGGGGGGGGAGAGGAACGTCTGAGGACAGGATGAGAGGGAAGGGGTCTGCGCTCCCCCGCGAGTGGGAATCGCGAACAAACACGAAATGACGGACTCGACTCCTCCTGAAATTGAAAAAGGATGGAGGGAGGGCGGAGGTGGGCGGGGCAGGAGAGCGAGGGCGGGGGAGGGGGGAGGCAGGGAGGGCAGGAGCAGTAGCAGCGGCGCCACGTGCCGCCCCTTCAGATGGGCGCGATAGGCGAGGTCCCCGGGGGCGTCGCACCCCTACAGCGGCCGCCCATCACCCGACATACGCGTCCCGTGAGATGCGCGGATTAATTGTATCTCAAACAACCCTTTAAATCAATTCCCGCTGTGATGGCCTCGCGCGCCCGCCGTGGCAGCGCGTGCGGCCGTGTGCGCGCCTCTGCGTGTGCTTGTGTGTGTGCGTGTGTTTACCTACACAAATGTCAATGCACATAGGTATCTGGGGTACGTCACTGTCATTGCTTTGCACGAATGTCTCCGAGTCTCACTAAGGCGTGTGCCCGGAGAAGACGAGTCCTGCGGATTCACCAACCCACTCGCGGCTCCACAGGACGCGCAGACAAACAGGCAGACAGACAAATAGACAGACAGACAAACAGATAGACAGACAACAAGACAGAGAAACAGATAGACAGACAGACAGACAAACAGACAGACAGACGGACACGCGGTCTCAACACCAGCAGCTTGCGACCCCCTCGCGCTGACCCCTGAATAGCCGCCATTACCGCCGGGCCGCCCACAGAGGTCAGCGGAGGGCGCCCCGGGGGTCAAGTGACCGCCGTATTGTCACAACAACTGGACACGCGACCCGACCGACGCCCGACCGCACGGACTCCGAAAACCCGACTTGAATAACTTGTTTATCTTCGCTTTATTAGCGGGTTGCGGAGTCAAGGGGGTGGAGGGGTGTGGGGGTGGAGGGAGTGGGGGAGGTGGTGTGGGAGGGGCCTTGTGGATGGTGGAAATGAGAGGAATTTTAGGCCTAGGGAAAGATCTCCCTGGAGAGCAAGGAAGAAGAAGAGCGGCGATAAAGATAATCAAATAAGAGAGCGACCGCTAATAACGCGAAGACGCCCGAACATCAGTCCATAAGATTCCGAAAATAAACAAACACACAGAAAGAACAGCAATAAAACACGTCATCAATAAGCAACAACATTAAAAAAGTACAAGTAACAAGAGAGGGAGAGAGAGAGAGAGAGAGAGAGAGAGAGAGAGAGAGAGAGAGAGAGAGAGAGAGAGAGAGAGAGAGAGAGAGAGAGAGAGAG